TCGTATCCCAAAATGGCCGCTAGTGACATCCCGACCATGAATTCCTTTATTACACGGGCTGTCACTCAAGTTAGCCTGCTGATTGTTTTTGTATATGCTGTGCTCAAAAGTTGAGCTACAGTTGACAGTTGATTTAGCCTTCGCCTGTACTATTGCATTTGTAGTTCCCGATGAGTACCAGAAGGTTTCATTGATTGTGGGTCAGCCATTCATAAATAGTAAAAATGTAGTGGTTGTTGTTGGTGACTCTGAAGTACGACTATTTCATATAATTCATAGAAAGACTTCCGGAAATTAAAGCCCTAATAAGTAAAATAATAAAAAATTAAAAAAAAATGTATTACGAGCAAAAGACAACGTTATCAATCCGCCGCATGTCGGTCATATAAACGTTGTTGAATGATGAAAAAGGTGGAGATGTTTTTGTAGATCTACAGTATAGATGTGTTTCAGAAAAGTACCATGTTATATAGTCCAACACATACCATTTTAAAGTCACGTGATTTTTCTCTATCCTTGTTGAATACATCTTAAACAGCGGTGATAGTAAAATTGACAAAAAAATTGGTGTCTAATTATTGTTCATAAAATTCTTACCTGAAATAGAATCCGTCACTGTCATCAATTAGTTTCTCAAAGTTATTTTAGAAAATGATACAACGAACAAACACAGCTAATAATTTTGACTATATTAACCTTTTTCCAACTCAAAAAGATGCAAATAGAAAACGGGTACCCAATTCAAGTTCAGAATGTATTACAAGGGGCAGCAGAAGCGACAAAAATGGGTCTCGCAACTTGCAAGTATTAAAATTCTCATCTGATTGGTCAATACTACTTCAGAAACGCGTTTGTAAAATGCTAGTGAGAACATATCTTAAAATTCAATAGTAATTAACCACAAGTAGCTTTTTGTAGGTGATATCAATGACATAATCAACGAACATACGTTTTTTGCCACCAATATCACGTGACTTTAAAATGGTATTTGTCGGACTTTACCGCTTTGTATTACAAAGTGTAATGCAAGCGTGTTACCTGTTATGAATGTTTCTGAGAAATATATCGAACAAATTTCTGTCATCGCTTGTTGTTTTTCCTGTTCTGAACAAACCTATAACTCTGAAGAAACTTGCTTTTACATTGAACAAACTTATTTAACATCATTCAAATTGAAAGACTTGGAAAAAACGATTGGTGCTAATATTTCTTAAAAGCAAAAGTTGTTTTTGAATAATTTATTAAACAAATATCGCAGTTGTTTTGCTACCGGAAAAACCAAGCTAGGTACCTGATGCAATATGGCAGAAATATGCATTAAGTTGAAAGTTGAAAGACGAAGAACCGGTAACCATACTGATTATCCTACATGCAACGCGAAAGGGTTCGCGAAATAGTTGACGTTAAATCAAAAAGTGTGAAAACGATTGTATCAGAAAGTGTGATAACAATAAATCAGAAAGTCTGAAACAATTGTATCAGAAAGCCTGATAACAATGGAACAGAAAGTCTGATAACAATAAATCAGAAAGTCTGAAACAATTGTATCAGAAAGCCTGATAACAATGGAACAGAAAGTCTGATAACAATAAATCAAAAAATCTGAAAACGATTGTATCAGAACGTGTGATAACAATGAATCAGAAAATCTGAAACAATTGCATCGGAAAGTCTGATAACAATGATTAGAAAGTCTGATAGCAATAAATCAAAAAAACTCTGAAACGATTGTATCAAAAAGTCAGATGACAATGAATCAGAAAGTCTGATAACAATAAATCAGAAAGTCTGATAACAATAAATCAAAAAGTCTGAAAACGAATGTATCAGAAAGTCTGATAACAATGAATCAGAAAATCTGATAACAATGATCAGAAAGTCTGATAACAATGAATCAAAAAAAATCTGGAATGATTGTATCAAAAAGTCAGATGACAATGAATCAGAAAGTCTGATAACAATAAATCAAAAAGGCTGATAAGGATAAATCAAAAAGTCTGAAAACGAATGTTTCAGGAAGTCTGATAACAATAAATCAGATTAAACAGAAAGTCTGAAACGATTGTATCAGAAAGTCTGATAACAATGAATCAGAAAGTCTGAAAACAACTATATCAAAAAGTATTATAAGAATAAAATCAGAAAGTCTGGTACCGATCACATCAGAAAGTCGGATAACAAGCAGTTTTAGAACGTCTAATACTGGTAAGAGTCCAAGTGACTTCGGTAGATTCTAAAAATTTAAGGTCTATCTTATAGAAAAACATCTTAAAGTTATAACAGACTGTAGTGCACTAAGAGCCACGTCGAGTAAGAGAGACCTAGTTCCAAGGATCGCTCGTTGGTGGTTAGACACACATGATTCAGTATAGACCAGACTGTAAGATGAAGTCACGTGGATGCTCTAAGCCGAAGTCCATTTGAAAACACGACGATTATGATGAAGTACAGGTACATCCAGTGAATATTGACGAAGATGATTGGGTTCTAGCTGCACAGCTCGAAGACGGAAAGTGTCGTCAGCTGCATGCTGTGTTGAGTCAGTTACGTGCGGAGTAAAGAGAGACTCACGAACATTTTATTCTTAAAAACAACCGAGTGTAACGAAAAACAGACCACGGTTTGAAATGAGTGGTACCAAAAAGCTCCTAATGTGTACTACCATGATTGTGCAGGACACTTGGCAGACTCTTGAGGCTATTCAAAATTGTTATTGAAAAACGAGTAAGTATGCCAAGATACGTTAAGAATTACATATTAGTCTGTTTAGAAAAGATACCCGGAAGATAACACAGTATCGTAAAGAAAAATGAACCATGATAAAAGCAGTTCCAAATACAAAAACTTCTTCCGTCGTATGATTTCTGATGGAAATAGAAATGTTTGGAGTGCCTAGGCGTATCATTTGTGATCGTGGAACCGCATTTACCAGCAAGGAGTTTTCTAGATTTTGTGATGGCTTGAAAATCATGTGCCACTGCAACTCCACGGGCCAATCAGCAGGTAGAAAGAATGAACAGAGTTATTCTTGCTGCCATGAATGATTCCGTGGAAGATGAAGATGGCTGGAATGAAAGTATCAGTCTAGTGTAATGGGGTATCAACACCATTGTTCATTCCACAAACAGGGAAAAGTTCCTACGAGGTTCTTTTAGGTTATAAGACCTAGTGGAATAAATGACTCCTTTCTACGCCTTTTTCGGCAGTATTTTGGAGGCTTTCAGTTGTATTTTGGAGTGGTCATTTGTATTTGAGAAATCCCCATATGAATAATAAAATAAATTTCTTAAGTGCGGATGACTGTTTTAGGGTGCGATTGCGGGTTTCTGGAGTACTGTTGTTGGAGGTGGTGTAGTTCATGAGGTATGTGAAAACGAGTTTAATGACTTGAAGGAAGTGCGAGCTAAAGTAGCCGAAAACATAGAGCATCAACAGGAAGTACAAAAGTTGTACTATGATGCAAGGCATGCTAAGCCTAAAAAGTATAAGGTTGGACAGGAAATTCTTGTCCAGCGAGCAAAGTGCTCAAATGATGGTAAAAGTAGAAAGGGCCCTAAAAAGATGTTAGATAACGATCGTTACGTGATTGAGGACATGTCGGCGCCAAAAGGTCGCGAAATAATCAGTCATATGAATAAAATATAGCAAATGCTTTTACTCTACCTCCATCTCTTTTTTCTGCATTAAAGCTGAATGTGTTTATCTCAAAACAACTTAAATAGAAGCATTTGCTCCTGTTTTATTCATATGAACCAGTTACTCCTGGTATATGTCCCTCAGATAAGATGAAACTGTTTAAGGCGGTTGCCTCTTCATCTGACTCATCGGCGGTTTCCGAGGATGGTTCAACAAGGAAACTTGATGATAGTCCGCAGGAAGCGCTGGCGAGATGTCAGAAAATAAAAACGTTAAATGACAAAAAGTTGTCAACGTTTGATTTTCCATTGCAACGTGCAATGGATAAGATGAGTGTCACTCGGGAGCGAAAGTTGCTTCGACGATAGAGAAAAATCTCTAGAAATGTCAAAGACAGTGCGTTTCAGCAGGACGCTGCTGAAGCGACGAGCGAGAAGTCGCTCGAAGACAAAACGTCTCAAGAAAAGTCTACCAAAAATGTTGGTATATAGCACTGAAGGAAAGTTCCTCTGGTAAAGCCTTGGATCCCTTGGGAGATTGGACAAGTGGTGATGAACCATCGCGCAGTCAATGTAAAAGTCATATGATTGCGGGTGCCAATCTCAAAAATAAGAGGGAGGATCTTAGGCTGGAGTTAATTAGAAAATGCTCAGCGAAGAATAAGTCTCGCTGGGTAGTTTTAAATGAGTAGATTTACTAATTTTGTGTTGTTTCAGGTCAATTTCACGAAGGAATCGAAGGGGGTCTTGAGGCGAGATTTTGGAAGCATTGGCCGACTGGAAGCGATCTTTGTTTCCTTCCCGAGGACGTGAAGATGTCAGGTTAGGCCGACTATAAAGAATATTTACTTGCACCTACCTAACAAAAAAACGCCGGATGACGGAGCGAATAGGGTTGGGTAATATCAGCAAGAAAAGGATGAATCAGTCTTGATGTTCTGCTGGTGTTCATCAGTCGATTTGGAAATAGCGATGTTATTTTTCTTTGTGACAAATATAATTTGTTTTAATGAAATCGAGTATTATTATAAATATTTATGCACCTAAGAAAAGTAGCTCACAATGATAAGTCAGTACTTATCAGAATATTCAATTAGGTTTTTGAATAATACAGTTTCTTGAGCGACAAAGAAAATAAAATTGTGTTGCTTAATCTTTATTTTTTAGTACTGGAGGAGCTGATTACTTGCTAAATTACTCTCAGACATGAATTTTGATTTATCAATTTTAAAAATATTTGAAGATAATCATCGTACATAGAATAGTTTGATTTTTGTGAATTAGGTATGGCAACGAACATTTATTAAGTAATGGAATATCACGGGAAAACATCCATAAAAGCCCACCAAATAATTCTCGACTTACCAGCCATGGTTTCGGATTGGGATCCGGTTTAGCTTCAGGATTTGCTTCTGGACTCGCATCTGGATCAGGTACCGGCACAGCATAGATTTTGATTACAAATAATGCAACAATAACTAGGAGCGTCTTAAACACAATTTAATTTTTCATAGAGAAGATTTTCTTAAATCGAAACTTACCTTAAAATGCATTTTTATTTTATTAATACCTATGTATAAACTATTCAACAATAATTATTGTTATTTGTTGTTGAAGGTAGTCTACTGCGCTAGATATTTACGTAGTGCAGCTCTTATAAATATTCAATTAACAATTAATTTTTTTTCGCACATTGGACTTATCGCAAAAAATCGCTAATGTCTGAAATTGTAAATCTATAAAAATATTTCCGCATAATAAACGTCAATAAACTTCCCCAGTTGGTAATTAGGTAATAATTTTTTAATGCAATTGAGTATTAAATTATGCGTAATTGAAAAGTAATATTTAATTCCTTTAATTTAAAAGTTTAAATAACACAATTTGTTATTGAAATGTTGCAGATGTCTGAGACGGATCTTTATTGTAGACGATTAGGATATTTCTGAATCTGGGGATGATTTCCCACTTTTTATTTTAAAATATCCAGGGTATCCATGATAACAATTGGAACTTTGAATTTTGAATACATTGAAGAGTTTTCTGCGTAATACACAGGTCCTAATTTGAGTTTATTGGTATAATGACGTGTGAATGATTTAACGCGTTCGTAGATATACAAAAAAAGATTCCATTGCAACTTTCTTCAATTAAAATTTTTCTATTTGCAAGAATCGCGTTCAAATAAAGAGGTGATAGATTTTCTTTTTTTGATTTTGGTGTGGAGATAATGGCTAACTTAAAAAGTACCCATTTTTATACTTTTAACTAAAAAGGTATTTGTATTTCATAATCTTGGAACTTGAAGGTCTGGCAATTTTGTTGAAAAAATCCTTCGGCTTCGACTGGAAATAGGTATTTTTTCATAATAATCGTTAATTTGGGAAAAAATCCGAAAAAAATTTGGGCACTAGGAATATTGGGTAATAAAGTGTAAACTAATTTTTTCTACGAGCGTACGGAAAATTGCATTTTCCGCACTGTTTTAAGTGCGGCAAAATTTTTGCCACACGGTGCGGCAAAATTTTTTCCACACTGATATGTCAAAATTTATAAAAACATGTACCTAATTATTTTTGACGCTAGTTAAATGTATAACAGACGCTAGCTGATGATTGGTCAACAGCGGCAGCAGCGACAGCAGTTGTAGAGACGCTGGCTTTTACTCCTCAACAAGATGATGGCATTACATTTTAAATCCGACGGCACCCTTTATTGACATGAAATACATGGTTACTATTGTGTAACAGATGTATTGCCATGTGTAACTAACCAGTTGTTTACGCCTTTACGCGTTCATCAGGCCCTGCGATCTCTTATTGCCAGTAATAAACCACATAATAACTCTTTTCCGTTTTTCTAGATGTCGCTGACAACAACAGAATTTTTGAAGATAACAAAAACAAAGTCACAGTCTCATAATTTTAACTTTGTTTTTGTTATCTTCAAAAATCTTGCCTTTGGTCTCTTGGATAAAAATGGATGATGCCTTTTTCCTTAACAACAGAATTGTAAAATACCAGGGCTGCGTTCAGGAATGGCTACAGCCAAACCAAAATTGGCATTTTGCGTTCAAGTTTGGCTCCAACCTACGTGGTTCAGCATTACCGGTGGAGGGGGAAAAGTAGGTTTTGGCATTAGCATTGCCGTCTTTGAATGCACCCCAGCACATCAAGAACATGTCCGATGTCGATGGTGTTGGATTCTTTGAAAAAATGAGAATGGACTGTATTATTTATATATTTACATTTATTTACACACACGACTATTTACACTATTTACAATTTGCATTTTCTCGTTTCTGTTTACGTTTTTAGACTTATAGAGTCTGTAAAAATGGTCATATAGGACCTGCCCAGAATTATCTGGTGCGCTCGGTGAGGTTCGATTCGACACTGACTGTTCCCGTTGGTTCACTCGCGTAGATGCCGGAAGCCACTTTACCAAAAACTTTGACAAGTGATTTTTGACACTGTTTGACACATACGCGCACACTTTGTAAAATTAAAATTTGAATTTTAAATTTACTGTTGGAATATTATTTCCAACAGATGGCATTGACATGAGATTGACATGTCAACATATAACAATATGCCAAAATATTCATTTGATCATAACTAATAATTCATAATGTTTTTCGTTCGCCGGTCTTGCATTTCATCTTTCTTTGTGCTGTCAAGTGTTTCTAAGTGATTTCAAAGTGGTTTTGTGTGTTTCACGAAGACCTTCAAACTTTATAGATTGGAAGATCTATTTTCTTTGTTGATTAGATTAATGACAGGTTCAATTAAACATCAATCAGAACTTTGAATAAATATGTTAAGGATATCCTTAACCATCGATAAAGGAACTGTCTTTTGATCTAATTAACAAAACATCAATTAATTTAAGCAAACATTAATGTCCCAAAGTCTAGAATAAAGAAATTTGAACAGTCCGACTGAAATGCGAACAGGGCGCCATCTATCATAAAAATGCCTTGAAGCCCTATGTAAAGTAGGTGTCTGTAGCTTCGATGCAAAACCAGTAAATAGTGAGTTTCCAATATGTTAGATGGCGCTGGCTTGGCTCAATTTTGTTGACAACAAAATTTACACTGAGATTCCATTCTCGACAGTTTATATAGTATTTATCTCTGGCGTTCATTTATCATTGCCAAAAAGTCTCGTTCTTTTTAAAGTCATTTTGGTGATTTTAATCGATAAAAATGAGTTCAGACGACGAAACCAATAAAAATATCACTGATGGTGTTCCAGCAGGCATACTTCAAGCTGCAGAAAATGTTAAAAACGAGTTAGTACCCGATAGGTCGAAAAAAAGGTATGAAAAAGAATACGCAACCTTCCTCAAATGGTGCATGACTCACAAAAATACCAATTTTCAAAAAGAGGAAGTTTTTCTTGCTTACTTTTCTGAATGGTCAAGATCTTGCCAACCGTCCACACTATGGTCTAAATATTCAATGCTAAAATGCATGCTGAAACTAAAGAAAAACGTCGACATTGGCATGCATTTCAAGCTTATTGCTTTCCTCAAGAAAAAAATGGTCGGCTTTCGACCGAAAAAATCAAAGATTTTGAGTATGGAAAACATTGCAAATTTTTTAAACAACTCGCCAGATAATATTTATCTCCTAATTAAAGTTGCAACAATTTTTGGTCTGGCTGGAGCATGCAGGAGGGAAGAGTTAACCAATCTGTTGTTCGAAAACGTAAAACTGGAAGAGTCACTAGTTTTGGTTAAAATAGCAGTTGTGTTTTTCCGTTCGTAGGCTCTGCGGGTGTTGAATGTTTGTTTTGTTTGTTTTGTTTTGATTTGATTTGTTTGATGCTTTGTTTTGAACGAACAACACATCGAAGTGTTATTGTTCGCTGTGCGTGTACTTTCGCTAAATTAATTTTAAACTAGTTCCTGTTTTATAAACTAGTTCCTGTTTTACCGGTAATGTTCCTGTGAAATTATTGTACTTGAACCTTGCGTGTATTGAACTTCAGCCTTGCGTCGTTGCTTTTCTTTGTGCAAAAATGGCCGAGTTTAAGTGTGACTCCTGTCAAAAAATCACCTCTGACAAGGACAAGTATAAACTTCGCTGTAGCGGTGAATGTCGCCGGCATTTCTGTATGAGCTGCACTGGTCTGGATAAAACGACAACAAAGATGCTCTGCCAACAAAAGTATCACAATATTAGATTTTTCTGTAGTGTCTGTGATTCTCCAACGTTAAAATATCTTCGCGATAAAGTGTCTCAGCTACAGAAAGGTCAAATCCCTCTGGAAATTGTAGAGGCTCTGGGTGCATGTCTTAAGAACAGTGAAAAACTTCATCCGGTCATTTCGGAAATCTACGACACCTTAAGCGCTCATGATTCCAGGTGGAGCGACTTATCCAAGAAAGTGGATGACATACACAACCACCATTCTGAGTACTCTGAGAGTGGACAGCAATCTCTATTCCATTCAATTAGGGAAATGAAACGAGACTTGTGCAACTTTTCGTCGATCTTCATGGACGGTCATGATGAGTCTATAAAGGTTCAGGTCAAAAGAAGAGTTAACAAGGGAAATGGCAGATTTGAGGAAATGTGTCAACCAAATGGCGCTCACGTTGGAAAAGTTAGCAGGCAAAGAGAAACCGTCTACTAGGAGCAGCCCGCCACCTATAAAAAAGTCAATTACAGCGTCGATTTCAACCCAGACCGATAGTGAAGAGACATCCCCTGTTACGCAAGTGGTCATTGATTCCCGAGTCTGTCCACCACCTCAGAATTCCGCCCTAAAAGAAAACTGGCATTATGTGGTAGTGTCAAAAATCCCCCATCCTTTTACAGCAAAACAGCTTGCTCATTTTGTAAAGGAAAAACTTGGAACCACGGAGTTTATCAGATGCTTTCCAATGCTCCAAAATAAAGACTGCTCTCACACTGATTTCAAAGTTGGTGCTCAAAACAAAAATCACCTAAAGCAGCTTTTGGACAGAAGCATGTGGCCTCCAGGTACGGGTATAGAGACTGCTAATTCATCTACAACACTTTTAAAGGCATCGCCACCGTCGGCAGCAATTACAGTAGATCCACAGCATCAGTCTCATCACCATTTCAAACCCAACACTGCGGTGGGCCGAAGTATACCACTAAACTCTGACTCAACCCCGATTAACCCGACTAAGGATGATAAAACTATCAGGATTGGTTCTGACAGGGAGGCTATAGCTGTTTCTAAGTCCCTGGCACTAGACAGCACAAAAATTGTTATGGATACAAGTAGAAAAAAAGATGAATCAATCATGGACCCGATGACTCCACCCATTGTGCGATTATCGCGAGCTTCCGATACAGCTGATGGTCGATATTTATTGGCTAGACTAAGAGACCCTGCCATTCTTAAAGCTCTTAGGCTATTCCTGGCTTATCTCCATGACCAACCATCCACCGTGTGTTTTGATGGGCACACTAACACCAGCATCAAATTAATGTTAGCTGCGGAGGGACTTCCTAGTGACTTGGACTCATTGCGGAAGTTATATTTCCGTTTCCACAACGCGTATGGCATTGGTCTGGCTGAAGTTGACGCAGATCTCTCCGCCTTCAGGTCTTACTTCTCGTCCGAGAAACTTCTCCGGTTACAGAATATTAGGGAAAGTCAGAGCAAATATTTCTCTAGTGGCTCTCCACGTAATAATAAAAAATTTTAGATAAGGTGACGCGACCAGAGGATCAAGCACCCTCTGTAAGGTTGGACGATGGCAAGCTTAGTGTATTTCTTATTAATATTCAGTCCTTAAGACACAAAACAGATGAATTATTTCTTTTATTAGAAGAGCTTAATTTTCCAGAAATCATCGCCATTACTGAACACTGGTTAAATATGGATGAACCTGTGTTTGTCAAAAATTACACCTCAATAGCTAGATTTAATCGAAGTAATTTATCTCACGGAGGCACTATGATAATGTCCACTAATAATGACTTTACGGCAATAACCAAGTTTGATAATTTATTATCGGAAAAAATATTTGAATTTTCCATCGTCTATCATAGTGGCTTTGATCTTTATATTGTTTGTTTATATCGATCACCGGACACAGACGCGCACATGTTTTGTCGGAATTTGCTGAGCTTGCTTGACTCCTTGCCCTTGAATTGCAAAATAATTTTATGTGGTGACTATAATATAAATTTTTCCTGTGTGTGCGCTGCTCAAGAATCTCTCCAGTCCATTTTCGACTCCTTTGGGATTGTGATGCATGTAAACTCTCCAACCAGAATAACCAAAACTAGTTCTACTACCATTGACTATGTCGCTTCATCTTTTGATCCAGAATTGGTCAACTGTTCTATTTTTAGTGCAGGGTTTTCTGACCACGAAGCAGTATTAACGAATTTCTCATTGAATTCCTTACGTAAGGGTGCTTCCCGCAAATTGGGCAGAATATTTTCGGATGGAAATTTTTTAAATTTCAGTCAACTTTGCTTATCAGTTGACTGGGTCGTCCACTCAGATGATGTTGACTCCGAGTTCTCTAGATTCATAAATACCCTATCTGACCTGGCGACTAAATCCTTTCCTCTCAGACCCATCAAAGTCAAACGGCATAAACCATGGTCCACTAGTGGCTTGCGTACTTCTGGTAAAAATATGCGATCCTTGTCTCATCTAAAAAAATTCTCGGATAGCGTCTTCTTCAATGATTACGTAAAATTATACCGAAAAGTCTATCAGAAAACCATAAAAGCCACCAAAGACATTTATTATAATAGGAGACTGGCAAACTCCAAAAATGTTGCAAAAGAAACATGGTCAATTATTAATGACTTGAGGAATAAGGCTTCTTCATCTAGCAAAATTCCTACTTCACCTGAGATCCTTAACGATTACTTTGTTGATGTGGCTAAGAATTTAGTGAATACCTTAACTCCTTCCCAGGACCCACTTTCATATCTCCCGAATGCTAAGGTGAACTTACACAGTTTCTTCTTCACGCCTGTAGTAGTTCCAGAGCTTCGCAGTACAATCAAAGATATTAAAAACAAATCTTCTTCTGGGACTGATGGACTCAAAATGTTCTCTAATCTTCCTGATTGCACATTAAAACATCTTACTACTCTGATCAACAAGTCGTTTCTAAATGGAGCTTTTCCAAACTGTCTTAAGATGGCGATAATTATCCCACTGCATAAGGGAGGTGATAAGGAGCTACCTTCAAACTATCGCCCCATTGCACTCCTTCCTACGCTATCAAAGATCATAGAAAGATTGCTTGAAAAGAGGCTTCTATCATTTCTCTCTAAATATAATATTCTAACTACCAGTCAATTCGGTTTCCTAAGTAACAAATGTACTAATGATGCAATGTTTTCCCTTTTCAATAATGTATACTCCAGCCTGAACTGCCACCACTCTACAGTCTCAATTTTCTGTGATTTCTCCAAAGCTTTCGACTCTGTTAATCATAATATCTTAATTAACAAATTACAGTTCTACGGTTTCAGAGGAATGGCTCTCGAATGGTTTAAGTCTTATCTTGGTAACAGAAGTCAGCTTGTGAGGGTGGACTCGACCATGTCCTCTTGTAAACCAGTTGAATGTGGTGTGCCTCAGGGTTCAGTTCTTGGCCCTATTTTGTTCCTGCTATTTATTAACGACATTGCTAGTCTGGATATTAGCGGCAAAGTTTGTCTCTTCGCAGACGATACTAGTTTCACTTGGAACAACCCGGATATTACGGAACTCCATAGAACCGTATCTAGTGACTTAATCACCATCAAATCATGGTGTGACTCAAATCTCCTGTGCCTCAACCTCTCTAAAACCAAAGTTTTATCTTACAGAGCTTCGCTCCAATCTGTAGTACTGGATAACAATACCATGGAGGCCGTTGATTCCGTGAAATTCCTGGGGCTTGTTGTTGATAAATCTCTAAAGTGGGACCTGCATATCGACGCCTTAGGAAAGAAATTAAGTTCGGCCTGTTTTGCACTGAGAACTGTTTCCAGGGAGCTTAACTCGGCAACTTGCAGGATGGTATATTATGCTCTTTTTGAGTCGCATTTACGTTACGCCCTTCCATTCTGGGGCACGTGCTGTGCGTCTCAATTTGAACGCATTTTTAGACTGCAGAAGAGAGCTCTTCGTTATTCTTTGGGACTTGGTAGTAGAACTCACTGCCGGGAATTTTTTATCAAGTCTAGTATATTGACTCTTCCATCTTTATTTATTTTCGAATCCGTCTGCTTAATTCGTAAGCACTTAATATCAGCTATCTCAGAGAGGCCATCTCATAATTATCCACTGAGGAACGCAGAGTTGGATCTTTATCTGCCA